TGGGTTAACCAGCAGATTGTCCTTTACTTGATTTAGCCTAATTACTAAACAATAACTCCTGATATAACTCCAGATCCTTCATGAGGCCGGAGTGAGTGAACAGGAGCACAGACAGCTGCTGGGATATTTATATCCCCTCTCAAAATACAGCATGCAGTGAGACAGTGAGACAGCTGAGGTTATAACACACAGCTTCAAACAACGGGTCAGTGCGTGAATATGAGCTTTACGCTATTAAACACAGACCCATAAATAAATAAATAGGAAACAAATTTGAAAGCAGCCATTTCAATAAAGAAATAATAATAATATCTTAATAACGTTCAGCCATGTCTGCTTACTTACTCAAATCTTTAAAAGTGCATGTAAACAAAACGAATCCAGATTCTTATAGTAAAGTGTGCCCTTCATTAACAGTGAAATAAAACAGGTCTTACCTGTTGATGTTCATTGTTTGCGGTCACTCACGCGCTCACAGATGCAATGAGACTGAACGGGTGTCTACATGTTCTCAGGGACATCAGCAACTTCTGACCGGTGTTGTTTACAAAAACGGAGACGTCCTTTAATAATCACATGGACCATTCTCAAAAAAATAAAAATAAATAAATAAAACTTTCGGAATTTCACAATAAATAATAAATAATAAACATTATTATAAATAAATAAACAAACATTTATTTGTTTGTTTGTTGTGTATGCATGTGTCAGCAATGCATAATTAATAAATAATATATACAAATAAATACAGACACATTTTTTATTTGTTTATATAAATGTATTTATTAGCTAGCTTTGTAAGGCTTCTTCCATATCAAATAAATAATAATCACTGAAGTGAAACTAAAACATACAGATAGTAAGGCACAAGTTTTGACTCAGGAATCAAAATAGAAAAATGAATGATTATGAAGATTATTAATAATATAATATAATATAGTTTTTAAGAGCGAAAAAGAGAATGTCATGGCAGATTTCGGCGCTAGGGGGCGCTAAATATTCACGAAATTGTGTTGCAAACAGCTGTTTTAGATGAAACATTTATTTCTTAAATAATTATTAAACTGTAATAGCAAGGGACACTTTTTTCATGTGGTGATTTCACTGGGAAATGCATTTAGCTGGTTTATAAGTGAATGAAAGCAAGGGTCTCTGTGAATCTACTCATCCTCCTGCTGTGTCTCCAGCAGACCCTGAAAGTAAATATAAAATGCATTGCAGTAACAGGTTTGGGCAAAAATTTTAAATGCAATAAATAAATAAATAAAATTAGAATTTGATTGTCCACACCCCACGGAAATTTGAAGTGAAATTTGTGCATTTCAAGGCATACATTTTTAATGCATTCTGTAGGAATCAAACCCACGACCTTGGCATTGCTGTTGAATGAATGAATGAATGAATACAAATGTAATAAATTATATATATATATATATATATATATACACACACACACACACACAGGACTTCACTTAATTTGTGACCTTTTTTTGATGCAAGTAATTTTACCAAGACTATGAAAAAAAACTCTTCTTTATATATACTGATATACAATGAAATAAAAATACACATTTTGGAAGGATGGTCATTTTTATTATCTACATTTTTCCTGCTAATTTATCGCTGTAGATCCTTTGTTATTTGACCGAGTAATTTATTAAATTATTTTTATATAGATCTACAAATGTCTTCGTGACATTGATCCCTAAGTACTTAACTATACATGTTCCTCTAAGGTTTTGTGCAAATATTTTCATGACAGTTAAAATGTCATTACTATAATACAAATACATAAATAAATTGTTTATAAAATGTTTGAAATAAGTCTCTTCTGCTCACCAAGGCTGCATTCATCTGACCAAAAAAAAAAGAATGCAAATAACTAAAATAACTTATTTCTATTTGACTATATTTTAGGATGTAATGTATTCCTGTGATGCGCAGCTGTATTTTCAGCATCATTACTCCAGTCTTCAGTGTCACATGATCTTCAGAAATCAGTATAATATGCTGATCTGCTGCTCAAGAAACATTTCTGATTATTATCAATGTTGAAAACCGTGGTGCTGCACAATAATTTTGGGAAAATGTTGATACTTTTTCAGGATTGTTTGATTGAAGTTCAAAAGAACAGTATTTATTTGAAATAGAACGGTTTTGTAACATTATAAATGACTTTACTGTCACTTTTGATCAATTTAATGCATCCATGCTCAATTAAAGTGCATTTTTTGGGGTTGATGGGTTTAGAGGGCATAAAGAATAAACTTTATTTGTCCCCAAAAGGAAATTTGTCTTGGGCAAAGTGCTACAGTGTTGCTCTGAACAGACAATAATGATAAATAAAACAATTAAAAAACATACATTAAAATATAAGTATAAAATGTAAAATATGTACAGTGCAAAACACAGTAAAGTGCTAATATGCTCTAGGTGCGTTGTTTTTGGTAGAATTCAGCATTTTTATCGAGGCAGGAACAAATGAAAGCTTCAGTCTATTAGTTTTACACATTGGCATTCTTAGTCTTGTATAGCTCAAAATATTATCATAACTTTCACATCTGACTGACGCATCAACTAATTTCCACAGTCACAGATACAGTTGTGAATCCTCAACATTAAAGCATCAAAGCAAATACTCATATAGAGACACAATCTGAACAAACATGATAAATGTGATCCAACAACAGACACTCACAAAGCAAACCATCAGTCTTTAAAAGCATAAAAGTGAAAGAAGGCCACAGACAGAGAACGAAAGACAGAAATAAAAGAGAATAGGTCTGTTTTATCATCTAAAACACTCAAAGCAGATGACTGGAATATTATTTCTAGTACATTTCTACCTTCACACTCAGGTCAGAGAAACTGATCACTGCAGAAAAATAATTTGAATACAAATATGAAAGCTTGAAAAACAATACTCACAGTGAAACAGCAATCTGTAAATTCAAAAATGAAAATCCAGATCCAGTCCCAGTGTGCTGGTTCAGCTCCTCAGTAACTCCACCTCTTTGTCATGCACTCATCCCTCGCTCCTTTATTGGGACGAGGGGAGAAACTGACATTCGTCCAGGTCCAGGTCTCTATTTACATAGATGTCTACTGGAATTTGCTATCACATATTAAATGCATTTCTATGATCAAAGCATTGGGTCACTCAGGAAACAGTGAGATATAATTACATAAAATATAAAAAATTGTGTGTGTGAATATATATATATATATATGATCAATGCATTTATTGTATGAAATTTCATTCTTAGGAAAAAGTGACAGGTATAATTATAGAACATTGTATATAATATATATATATATATATATAATTAATACATTTCTAAAAATTATATATATATATATATGAATCTTAATTACAGCACAATTTAGGGCATTTTTTAATGTACCAACTACATGTAAAATTTATTCTTTTGCATTATACAAAACAGAGAGAATTAAATCTATATCTATATCTATATATATATACACATTTATATATTTTTTATGTATATATTTTTTATTTTTTTGTTCAATCAACCCCAAAAAATACACTTTAATTGAGCAAGGATGCATTAAATTGATCAAAAGTGACAGTAAAGATATTTATAATGTTACAAAACAGTTCTATTTCAAATAAATGCTGTTCTTTTGAACTTCAATCAAACAATCCTGAAAAAGTATCACGTTTCCCAAATAAATTTGGCAGCACCACAGTTTTCAACATTGTTAATAATCAGAAATGTTTCTTGAGCAGCAAATCAGCATATTATACTGATTTCTGAAGATCATGTGACACTGAAGACTGGAGGAATGATGCTGAAAATACAGCTGCGCATCACAGGAATAAATTACATTTTAAAATATAGTCAAATAGAAAAAAGTTATTTTAAATCGTAATATTTTCAACAATTGTACTGTTTTTACTGTATTATATATATATATATATATATATATATATATATATATATATACACACTGTTATATATTCTTAAGGCTACATGAAATATTTGTACTTGGAATAGTTCATTTGCCAAAGCACAGAAATGAACTAGTGAAGTCAAAAAGTTAATTAAAAGTGGTAAAATACACACAACACCTTGGACTTCCACAGGTAGACTAAATTTCCGTTCCATTCCAGGACAGCTTTTATGGCTGTTACGGTCATCAGGTTACAATGGCACTTCCTGCCTGATGTTGTCTTGTCTGGAGGGCATGAATGGAGCAGGTTTTTGGGGCCGGAGTCTGAGGCCTGCTGATGAAGTGAAATATTAGCACTCTTTAGCAAAACAGTCAAAATCCATCATATCAAAAGAAAAATGCAATGACTAGACTATTCATTATATATAAACACTGTTATATTTTCATTGATTATATAGTAAGTGTAAAAAAAAACATTAACCCTATATTTTGCAATTGAGATTAAAACAAACTTTCACTAATTCAGAGTAAACGCAAAATTGACAATACATTAAAAACAATGTATTGTAATGAGCACATTTTTGGAACAAAAAGGTGCAAATATTGTTTTAGATTCCCAATACATAAAGAGGTAAAATGCACTCATATTTGTTAGTTAAAGACGCGGTTAAATCAATTTTGCTTTGACCCTGTAACATGAATGCAACAGGATCGACATAAAGCACATTCAGAAAAATTGTCAGGATTGGTGCTCTAAAACTGAGTGATACCACCTGCATTTACTAAATTATCCATTCAAATCATAAGAGCACTTTAAACTTACTGCAATGTGGAAAGAAAGAAAGAAAGAAGTTTCCTGAGAGTGACCATTTAAATGTCTGAGTGCTGAACTCCTTACAGAAGATCACTGTAATAACCAGTTTGAGAATAATGAACATATAGGTCAATAAAAAACTACCTAAAATCAATATCATTTAAAATATACAGAATATAACTATACTAACACTGAAGAAAAATGATGCACTTCACCTTTAAGAAACAAAGCAAAGAATTAAACAAGTCAGCAGCTCACGCTCCTTCATTAAAAAAAAAAAAGAGAAAAAAAATCTTTATTTGTCATTTGGTCCGACAGAACCTGAGATTGCAAATGAACTGTACAGATTTTAAAATTATATCATTTTTTGTTTTTGTCAAAGAATCAATAAAATATTCTACATATTATACTCCTGGCCGACAGAGATCTGTATAATTACAGCGAGTACTTCTGATGGGATTGTGCAGAGGGGAACAGCGCTGTACACTTTACAAAAGAAAGACAGAACGTGTGTGTGTGTGTGTGTGTGTGAGACGTCACATGATCAGACCGACACACACCAACAGAGGGAGACACTGACCAACACAAGAAAACACAGGAGACGCTCAGTGCACAAATAAAGTCCAACACACATGATCAACCTCTCGCTCAGCAGCTTCTCTTGTGCTTCTTTACTAAAACACAACAGAAATAAATTAAAAGATGGTTCCCACATGCATCTTCAAACACATAAACCCCTCACGGCCGGTGAATTACCACACACGGCTTTCCACTAAAATCAAGTATCGCCATTCGTCGTTACATTACCCATGATACAGAACATGTGAGCACAGAGCAGGCTGCTGATTGGCTGTCAGAACGGCATTAAACCTAAATCTCACAAAACATGTCGAGAACGTGGCACATTTCACCCTATGATCAGGAAGAATAAAGATATAGTTTGCTTAAGGAAATTAAACCTGTATTTTGGGCCTTTAAGATATCCTGGATTGTGACAATTACACACAATTTTACCCCAAATCCAGACAATAAAAAAAAAAACTCATTACAGAAATTTGGAAAAAACTCTGATATAATATTTAAATTCTAATTATATAAAAAAATATATATAAACATAGCAACATTTGTTGTACTGCCTAAATGTGGTTTATACAAAGTATATATTTTTTTACTTTTAATATAATACAGTAAAATACTGTACTCACGTAATAAGAATCAAGTGAAGATAATCCTAAATAACAAAAATTATAAAAGTAAAAATTAAAAGTCCAGAAGAATTAAACAAATGTAATTGAAACAGTAATAATAATAATAATAACAATATTAAAATAATAGTAATTATTATTTGTATTATTATTAAACTGTAATGTCCAGGAGTCTTACCGTAATGTGAATAGGAGGGAAAAATGTGTTTAATTGTCATGGAAAAATCTAATATAATTGAAACTGTAGTAGTAATAATAATAATAATGGTCCCAAAATCAGGCTCAATTTTGCCTTTTTAAAACAATTTTTTTCCTATTTTAATTATGGTGAATTATAAAACGGATGGTTCCGGTCCTTGATTCTGATTGGCTGAGCCACGTTCAAAGCTGTTGTACATTACAAAGTAACATACACCTTTGTTTACGTTTGTCTGTTGCTCGGCAACCACTTTGTTGGAACCACAACCGTTTCTGAGGAGCTACATTGTTTGGTGGAAGAATACTGTTTTTATTAATATCACATATTTTGTGAAACCGTACTACGTATATGGAATAACCGCTTTATTAAAGCAATAAGCCCCGTGACTCCGGGATGGATGTGAATGAAGCTCATCATGTTCTTGCGCAGAGTGAGTGTGTTTGCAGTGGGCGGGGCTTGGCTCAGCAAGCAGACGTGTGATTGGCTCAGTAGTTCCACCCAGACCCTCTCAGTGCCTGCGTGTGTGTTCATCATCACGGGCCTGAACTGGTCTATGCCGTTTCATGAAGAGAGAGTGTGTCTATGTGTGTGTGTGTGTGTGTGTAAGCGTGTGTCAAAGCGGCCGCGGCCTGTGCAGTCCGTCAGTGTCTGGCGTGAGCTGGGGCGAGTGTGTGGCTTTACTAGACGTCCAGTCGCCCAGAGATGCCTGCGCTGCTTTCCTATGGGCCAGTCTATGTGTGATGGAGAATCCGGCGTTCCCCTCCAGCTGGGACAGGACCACCAGCACCTGCCTGCAACACGTGAGCGAATACATGCGCGTTAATGCATCACACCGCTGCTCTGTTAGGGAAAACCTACATAGAAAGCACTTTTTAGGCAAGCATGAAGACTTTCAAAAAGGTGAGCAGCAACATTATAAAGCATTCAATTATACTTTCTTTACCAAATTGTCAATCCTAAAATGCACTGCAATGCTCTCCCTGAAAAAATCATTAATCCAAGATGGTGGATAACCAGAGAAATTCATATTATAAATATATCTTTCACTCAGTGGTGACAAGTACAAAAATATGGACTAAATACAGATACAAAAATTGGAATAAATAATAAAGTAATATTATAAAATATATTTATTCACTGCTAACACCAAAGTCAAATGAAGTCAACTGTGAGTCGAAGGGAAAATGTGTTTAATTGATATAAAAACATCAAATATAATAATAATAATAATAATAATAATAGGCTTTATTTTCTTTTTTATAAACAATTTATGGTGGATGCTTTGAGAGAAATTTACATCATAAACTTATATTAAATGTTGGAGAAGTATGCAAAAAATTAGAACTGGATACAGATATAAATAATTAATAGGAGGGGGAATGTATATATATATATTTTTTTTTTTGTATATATTGTATGCAATATTTTATATATATATTTGTATGTATGCCTCAAGTTGTCAACAAAAAAAAATGTTTTAATAAATTAAAATGCATATTAAAATTTATGCTAGATGACTTTATACACTATTTTTACTTTTTTGTTTGAATTAATCTTCGTTAATTATTTTAATAAATGAGTTTTCCTCATCTTTTTAAATGAATAATTGTGTTAAAACGGCATAAGCAGCACTGTTAGGGTTGATAGGGCATGTGAATGAGTGGAGTGTGATTCAGCTATGAATACCTCCGAGGTGAAATTGTCAAGCGGCTCTGGGTGTGAACAAACCTTAAGTAAAACCCTTCAGGCTCTAACAGGACTATCATTCACAATCACACGGCGGGTTTCCATCTGGAGCCGGAGGAACAACGGCCTGCTCTTGTTCCCGCTGCTGTCAGACGCTTCAGGAGATGAGTTTACCTGTGCAGCGGCGGCACGCTGTCGATGGTCTTCAGGCTGCCGCGGGTCGACACCACATTGAAGCTGTCGGTACAGTCACATGACACATGGAGGTAGTACTTCGGGTGACGGTTCTCCACGACGACGATGAGCCCCGCCCACCCGTGAGTCAGGTAGTAACATGTCATTCCTTCCCGACCCTGAAAAACACACGAGATCAATAAATCACATCAGAAAACCGCCATCCTTGTTGTTTGCATCCTTAATTATTATGGACCTTTTCCACATTTCTGGGTTTCTCCGAAGCGGAAGTCATCGTAGTGAATGGGAAATGGCATCAAAAACTTTTTTTCCCTTCATTCCCATTCACTCAAATAGCAAAAGAAAAACCCCATGATAATGTTTTCACAACTTTTGAAAAGAGGAAAAAAATAGAGAGAGATTGACAGCGGCATTCAGAAGGCAAGGTAAGGCAAGTTTATTTGTATAGCACATTTCATACACAATGGTAATTCAAAGTGCTTTACATAAAAGAAAAGAAAAAAATAATCACAACAATAAAACAAGGAATTTAAAAACTTTGAAAATTATTAAAAAATTGATTTAAGAGGTTTAAAATGAGTTTTAAACGGTTAAGAATAGAAAATGATTATACATAAATAGCAAAAAGAGTGCGAGTTGTTTTCAGAAGAGAAAACAAAGTCAAATTTACCTTCACTCCTACAGACGCTTTTGTAATTTGATGCAAAGGTAATATAATACAAAGCGTTTTAAATGTACATACATTTTTGAAAAAATAAAATAATGTTTAAAATAACATTTTAAAATAAAATCCATCATCATCATCACCAGTCTGTGAATTAAAATTCCATTCCAAAAAAACAAAATAAATAAATATATATATATATATATATTACAAACACATAGATATATACTGTGTATATATATATATATATATATATATATATATATATATATATATATATAATCATAAATAAGTATTGCATGTAGTACATAATATAGTATTAATCACATATACATACATCTGTGATCAATACTATATATTTATGATTATATTATGTAACAAGTATATTATATTTACATATATACAAAATTTATTTTATATTCATATAATTTATATATGTTAATTTTATATAAATTATATTAAAAACTTATAGATAACTTTGTAATACATAACTTTGTTAATCATATATGTTATTATTAATAATATTACTACAAACTAATTTGATTATGACTGTATAATAAAATGATATTATAATAAATATATATATATATATATATATGAACCAGTTATTCAGGAATTATTCAGTTATTAATTCCTATTATTAAAAAAGTTTGAAATGACACAAAATCTCAACTTTCCTAATCAAGTCCAATCAGTATACTCAAACACAGCTGGACTCAAATGAAGGTGTAGAACCATCTCAAGGATGATCAGAAGAAATGGACACCACCTGAGTTAAATATATGAGTGTCACAGCAAAGGGTCTGAATACTTAGGACCATGTGATATTTCAGTTTTTCTTTTTTAATAAATCTGCAAAAATGTCAACAATTCTGTGTTTTTCTGTCAATATGGGGAGCTGTGTGTACATTAATGAGGAAAACAAATTAACTTAAATGATTTTAGCAAATGGCTGCAATATAACAAAGAGTGAAAAATTTAAGGGGGTCTGAATACTTTCCGTACCCACTGTATATGATCCAGTTATTCAGGAATTATTCAGTTAATTAATTCCTATTATTAAAAAAGTTTGAAATGACACAAAATCTCAATAAATTACATGAAATCACATACATATATAAAGGTAACCCGTCTTTCCCTCATATAGCCATTTTATTCATCATAGCATTCTCACAAATTAAAAGCCATACATATAGTTACATATTCATCTAGATGCATTAGAGAAATTATTCTGAAAGTTCTTCATGCGGTGGGTGTGAGTGTGTTGCAGTACCTCATGTCTCTCTCCCTTGTTCTCCGTCAGCAGGATGATGGCGTCAGCGAGTGTGGTGGATGTGGCCTCCACCTGCTCCACCATCACCTGTCTGGAGCTGTAGATGGCCAAGATGTACCCTGGGAAATCCTGGCTGGGTCTGCGAGCGTTGGTGGGGCTGGAGACTGCAAAAACACACAAACGTGCTTTCTAAATCTCATCCAAAATGAGTCCTGCTTACTCTCCAGAGTGCGTTTAGTAAGCAATAAGGTACGAGAGGCCTGTATTGTGAACAGGTCACGGCTGAAGGGCGTTGTTCGGCACGACGCGAAACCCTTCAGCCATGACTTACTCTCGAGGCATGCCTCGAGTGCCTTATTGCTTTTAGGAAACGGCTATCACACAAAACAACTATTAAAGCCAAAAATATATGCATTGATTTGTTAAGTAAATTCATTAAATTCTATCCTTCCACTAAAAAAAGTCCCTGACAGTGACAGTAAACGGCAAGAGAATGTTCTGATGTAACAAGCCTCATCTTATGAAGCTCAAATAAAAACAGAGAACAGGAACTGTTCTCATCTCACTTTTTAAACACCATATATGATCTTTTCTCACATACACACACGCATACATCTGCTTATCTCTCAGCATGAGAAAACGCCTGTTTTCCAGTTTAAAACAGAACGATTCGCGGCACAGTGCGAGATTGCAAGCGTCATTAAAGTCTAAATTCATACAGTACCATACCTCAAAAATAAATCTAATAAATACAGTATAAAATTCCCTCCACACTTGTGTAAACTGCAGGCTTCCACACAGACACACGCTTATCAATGTTTCTCCCATACGAGAAGAGTTTCTTTAACGGCGGGTTAAAGGTGAATGATGCAACATAAGGCCGCTCATAATTCATCACATAAATAACAATTAACAATTAATTTTGCTGAAATACATAACACCGTTCTGGCGCTATATTGATTGTTTATGTTGCTGCAGTGATACGCAGAACCGCTGGTGCTTTATCGTGAATATAAAACAGCTGCTGACCAATCAGAATCAAGGACTGGAAATAACTGTTTTATAATTGCATTGACCCTTCGCAAAGACCCGCCCCCCCTTAGTTACAGTTGCTACGTCCGACAAACCATGGCGCTCTCACGCCACACATCATGTTTTCACACAGTGAAAAATACATCGCGGAGCAAAGAGGAAACTGAAAACTCAGACAGAGCAGGTTACTTTGGGTATGAAACAGTCTCCGCTTTCAAAATTTTGCCTTTATATTTTTTTAATTCAAATGAATAGCATTTTGTGGCTCTTTAATGTGTGGTGACAGATCGCTGTAGCGCCTCAGTTCTCATCATCTCTTCCTCTTTACTAGTTATAGCACAAAATAAACATGAATGAACATCAGAATGGATCTTGTTTCAAACACACGCGAAGGGTTAATCAAGCGTGTGTTTGTGTACCTGGTGTTGAAGCGCCCGTCAGGTCCATCTGCCAGTGGTTGAAGGCACAGCAGACCACCGCATACTCTCCCGGCTCCAGCATCACATCACATCCTACAAACTTCTTCACCGCGCGCTTGCTGTGTGCCAGCAGACGTCCCAGGACCAGCCTATTCCCGTTACCGAATGAGGCCCGGAAGACCGTGACGCACAGATCCAACAGGTGACTGTCGGCCGTGTCTGAACGCCTGGAGCAACGGCACAGAATTGATGTTGTTGTTGTTTTATGGTTAATATTTCATGCCTCATTCTTTATTTATTTTGCTGTTATTTACCTGCTGCCCTCCTGGAAGAGGGCAAACTCCAGCGCGGTTCTCTCCAGGACCGTGAGGGCGGTTACAGTCACCGGTTTACTCGCCCGGCAGGGCAAGCAGCCCTGCAGACGAACTTCCTGCCAATCAGGATGAATCTTGCAGATATCCACCGAATCAAAGTACCTGCACACACAAGATTAAATACGTTTTTTTTCTGTTGCAGTTATTTAACTAGAATTAATGATAGACTGCTATGTCGGTCAGACGGATTATTGTGTATTTTGGCCAATTTGAACATCAGTTGATAACAATACCCAATTGGAATTACTTGAATTAATTTTTAAATAAATATAATTATTTTGTCATTTACAATCATTAAAGAATATGAATAAAAGATCAATTTTTTTTTTCAAATTTAGATCTCATTTGCTATTATTAAATATATATATATTAATATTGTTAATAAAAATTGTGTAAAATGTCTTTAATATTGTTTACATAGAACTCATATAAAAAAAATTAAAATGTATATCATAATAAACTAAGTGAATTGTAATGTAATGTTTGTAAGAAATATGGTGTAAAATAAGTCATTTTTAAAAATGTATGTAGATATTGTTTGTATTTATTATGGATTTAACAAATTTAATACACTTTTAACATTTGTAATAAATATGATGTAAAATAATTTTTTTTTTTTTTTAAATGTATGTAGATCTCATTTGGCATCACTAATACATACAATTAAAATGTTAAGAATTTTTTATAAATTTCATGTAAAATGTGTCTTTCATGTCATTAAATAATGTTTATATATAATATAAAATAAATTCATTTTAATATAATGTTCTTAAATAGAATTTATTTACTTTTTTATTTTTTACAAGCTTTAATATTTTTTTATTAATATTGTGTAAAATGTATTTTTATGTAGGTTTTAATATATTTCTTAATAAATATGTTGTAAATATGTCTTGTTTTTTCCAAGTTCGTCTCATTTGCTCATATATATATATATGTAATAAAAAAAACAACAACAGAATTTGTATATAATACATAATATAATAAAAATAACATACAGCACATTTACATCACATTTGTCAAATTTAAGCAGATCTCTTGCATCATTAAGTAATGTTTCTAGAATTTAAAATGAATTCATTTGAATATATTCTTTAAACAGAATTTTCAGAAAACAGCACAATATTTTTATATTAAAATGGTGTGAAATGTGTTTATGTAGATCTCACTTTCCATCATTAATACTATGCATATAAATTCATCAGAATTGAATATAATAATTTTTATTAAATATGGCGTCCTAATTTTTCTCCAAGTTTATTTAGATCTAATTACTAATATATGTATAATAAAATAAACTAAAAAAAAGCAAATAAACAGGCCATCAGCCTCCTGCACATTCACATCACTTCTGAAAGACTTCGGTCCACTAACGAGGTGCTCTTTATTTATGGAAAGCTCTGATGAAGCTCATCTCAGATTAAAGGTCAATTTAACACAGATGAAGCACTTAATGACTCACTTAATGAAGTCTCCGTATTCTATCCAGAAGACGCCTTCGCTGCTGCCGTGAGCCATGAGCTCGTGACGCAGGTGCTGCGGCCAGTCGGCCCACTCGTCTGACCACGAGCCATTCCAGGAGAACCGGCCCCAGGGGTTCCTCAACCGCAGCAGCCTGAACACAAAAGCCGCTGTCCTTTACCAGAACCACTCAAGATTTACAGCTCTGGCCTGCTTTTATTGTTCTGTCACAATGAGTGCACGCGTCACTCACGATTCAAAAACAACCCACCTTCTCATGCATGCCATCATATGACCTCAGAAAACATCTATGGACTACTTTTTTGTTCTTTGCATGACAGCATGAATCATCTTCATTATATGCAGTGCAGCAGGTGTGTAACAGTACACAAAAATGACGGGTCGGTTTTGAAGTCACGGTTCGGTAACAGCAACTAAACATCATTTACATTACATTTAGACATTTAGCAGATGCGTTTATCCAAAGCGACTTACAGATGAAGACAATAGAAGCAATCAAAATCAACATCAAACTGCTTCTTTTTTACTTTTTCATTAAACAGTGGTTTACCGAACAAATTGTGGCTCTGTCTTTAAATAAATTCGATAAAAATAAAAAAATCTACCTCTGCTAATATTGTAAATTACATAGGAGCCGTATAACTTGCATATTACTATAATATTAAAAGTTACAATTAACAAAGAAATCCAAACTATTAAATTCAATTGCTATTTATTTTTAGATATAATAATCAGCACTGAAATAAAAAAATTTTTATGCAAAATGCAAATGTAAATTACACATAAGGCAGTTTCATAAATTAATTTATAAATCTAGAAAATTATGTTTCTACTCCAGTGTGTTGTTGAAATATACTCATAACTTGTTTTAATGACAGTTACGTTAACAGGTTAAATAAATATATTGAATATATAGGCTAATATAGTGCATATATTCATATATTTAGCTAAATGTAATGCTACGTTTTAATGACATCTTTTCACAGTTGAATCACGTGATTGATTTGTCGTGAAACCGTGAAACATGTCAAAACAGCATTTAAAGCTTGAACTTCCTGATAAAACGGACAGAATATGAAAGATGAGACTTTGTTTCTTGTTGAAAGTCACTAAACGCAAAGCTTACTGTTATATTATAATATCTAATGAAGTTTTATTCACTGAAACAGCATAGACTAAATAATCGATCTTGGGATTTAAGAATCGGTATTGTTTTGTTAAAATGAGGATATATAAAACTAGAAGCTTCAAATGAACTTCTGCATACGCAGTGGTTAAAACAACACTGTGTAAGACCCGTACGGTACGTGTAACATCACACCCCTAAAAACAGTGATCTTTTGTGTCGTATGGGTGAAGAAACTCTGTTTTGACAGCATGCATGCTGTGAACGTGTCTGACCTGTAGCCCTGAACATCCCTGACGTCCAGTATGGAGTAGGCATGTCGTGGGCGGAGCCCCAGAGATTCATATACAGCATCATCCACCTTCATGTTCCCGCCACCACAGGACGCCCCCATCAGAAAGCTGAGACACACACAGACAACGATCACAAACCCAAACCTCATAACTCACTTCACAGTTACACCAGTGTAGAACAGAGGTGTTTTAGTATCACATTTTTTATTAATTGTAGTTATTTTAGTTGTAGTTGTTTTAGTAGAGAAATTATACTTTGGCAACTAACTGAAATAAAACACACACACATATATACATAAATAAACTATTTTATCTCAGTTAAAGCTTTTTTTTAATTTCAAGTAAAAACATTTTTTTAATGATTTTTAGTTAACAATAATACATAGTATATATCCTGGTATATAAATACCATATGAATATTCAAATTTTAAAAATAACACTTCGTAGCACAGATAATTCAAAATTCAACATTTTAATCTTGTATATTCATAATGTTTTTAGCGGTTTCATTTTATATTATTTTTTGAATATTTGATTTTTTTAATTTTTAGTTTAATAAACAAATAACAAAACAGAACATAACACACCAGAATCACAAATAAACAGACAGATAGAAAATAAACAAACAAATATTTTAGTTGAAACAGGTTATCTTAGTTTAAATATAGCAATTACTTTATATAAAATGATTACAACAACTTTTAAATAATGGCTGAAAATATCCAACAATGTGTCTTTTAGATATAATATTTATTGTAAATTCTACAATAATGATTATAGACATCATGTTTACAAATAATATAATTAGCAATCATTAGCAATATCATTTGCGTTATTCAGCTGATACTGTATGTATAACTAATGCTAGTAAGGATGCTCTGATCAGGATTTTTGGAGCCGATCACAGGAAGCAGTATCTATCGATACGATCACTGATACCGATCTTTTTGAAGCCTTCTTTTTATCATGTAGAATTATTTATAGTGATGCTCCAATCAGGATTTTTACAGACGTTCATCAAACTTCCCAAAGCAATTATCAGCCGATAGCAATCAGTAGCCGATCAATCGGAGCACCCCTACTAGTATGTGGACATTAATTGTCCTGTAATTGCCAAGTAGCCTAGAATACTTTGTAAAACACCATCTAATTTGTATTTATTATTTTTAAAATTAATTTTTTGTCTTTTTTCCTTCATTATAAAGGACAAAAGACACCTTGTCTTCTTATAATGTGCCTTGAAATTAGCGAGTCCAGAGCACAGTGAATACATTTCAGGGCTCAAATTACAGGACAATTAATTGAATAATCTGGAGTGTGTGTCGCCGTACCCGGCCTCTTTGGAGCTGAGCATTTTGGCCCATATGAGGTCCGTGTCGATGGGCTCTTCCCGTGGGTTGGTTGAGCTGACCTGCAGCATCAGACTTTCACAGGGGGCGCCAGTGAGCGTCGCCAAACCCTCGATGGCACGACCGGCCTGCAGCGCAAAATACGACCCGTGCAGCTTCGCAAGAGCCTTTTCTATTAGCGCAACCCACAGCTGCCTCCGCTGAGCCTGTCAAAGAGAAAAACACCGAAAAAAGAGAGAGGGATTCAAAAAAGATTAATACAAGCCCTTAGCAGGAAGTAATGTTTGCAGCAAAAGTATCATTTCCAAAAATACAATTTAGAATCTTTAACATTTTTTTCATACGCTACTTTATAATAAAAAGCCAAAAATATTTAAACTGTTTTATTTAATATAATTACATTCAATATATTTAATCATAACAATAATATTTTAATGCTAATAATAGTATATAAAATGTAATTCATAAAATATATTTAAAATATATTAACATTTATACAATTAAATGTAGTAATAATATATATATTTTTTAAATTCATTTAAAACATTCAAATCTTTACAATGTTTAAAACACTTTTCACTTACTTCTTAAATACTCTTTAAAAATACTTTTCACTAACTTTTTCAATAATTTCCAGAACCGCTCTAAAACATTTGCTATTAGAATTATTTTTCAATTTACTTTACAAAAAAAAAAATTTTTTTTTAAATAATTTGTCACTACATTACATATTGTTTAGTAGGTAAAAATGTGCAATTCTTTATTTAACTTCATTAAAGTTTAATTTCCTTTTAATAAGTTTTCATTAAAAAAACTAATTGGCCATCATTAAATATGTACATAATATAAAATTAATTACAATTTAAATATATATTTATTAAATATGGTGTCAAATATGTCTTTAATTTGCTTTTCAGATAAATGTAGATTTGATTTGTGATCAATAAACAATATGTATGCATCCAAACTATTTGCTGTTACAATTAACTTCAATTAATTTCTCACTCCCTCTGGTTGTCATGTAGGTAAAAATGTGCAATTATTTACACTGGATGACAATATTTGTAACTGCTCAGTGATCGTAGTGATCGCAGTTATTTCAAATCATCATGATCAGTCTATTAATTGCAAGCTTGTAAAATCAGTCCTTATAAACAAACTCAAGCTCAGCAACGAAAACCTGTGAGAATAGCAGAAATCCGTATTCGTCGCAGGGCAGCATGTCGTCCACCAGAACCGTCGTCCACGTCCCGTCCTTACAGAGCCGCACCTGATACGCTCCCTCCTCGCATATGGTTCTGGTGATCATTACACGCTCCACCAACTCGGGCCGCTCTGCTAGGACCGCGAGAGCGCTTAAAAACCTGTGAAACAAGCGACACAGCGCCAACATTTCACTCCTACATCACTAAACTACACTGGGGCTGAAATGATTCTGAGCGCAGCAAAACAGCTAAACTGGACGCCACTTGAGGTCATGTGACAAAAAATTGTGTTTAAAGGGATAGTTCACTCAAAAATGAAAATGTTGTCATTAATTACTCACCCTCATGTCGTTCCAAACCCGTAAGACCTTCGTTCATCTTGAGCAAAAGAAAAAAAAAAAACGACTTTATTCAACAATTCGTCTCCTCCGCATCACCCTAGCGCCATTTTGGAGAGTATCCACTGAACGTAAATTGCGTATGCTGTTTTGTGTCAGCTGCGCCATGCGGATACGTCGTTTACGCTTTGATTTGAATGAAAACAAGGTATCCGCGTGGCGCAGTTTGTTTGTTTTTTCTTTTGCACACAAAAAGTATTCTCGTAGCTTTGTAAAATTACGGCTGAACCCCTGATGTCACATGGATTATTTTACAGATGTCCTTGCTATGTTTCTGGTCCTTGATCGTGGTAGTTACCTTGCTGTCTATGGGAGGGTCAGAGAGCCCTCAGATTCCATCATTAATTTGTGTTCCGAAGATGAACGAAGGTCTTACGGGTTTGGAACGACATGAGGGTGAGTAATTAATGACAAAATTTTAATTTTTGGGTGAACTATCCCTTTAAATACATAACCAGTGTTGGGGAAAGTTTCTTTTAAATGAAATCCATTACAATATTGCGGTACTCCATAAAAAGCTTATTTATTTTTTATAACAAAAAACTCACAAGTTGCGTTTTTGGCAACTGTAAAAGCCCTACTAGTTACTTGAAAAAGTAATCACATGTTACTTGTAATGCGTTACTCCCAACACTGTGCATATCACATACTGTTACACTTTATACTGAGCTGTAAGCAGTAAACTAGCACTCCACTCGAAAACTCAACCATAGAGAGAGACGTGTTTCTCTTACCAGCAATTTCCCAGAAGGCCTTGCAGTATGTCAGAGGGGCGGGGCGTCCTGAACACGGACCACTTCACACCACGATCCTTAAAGTTATTGCAGTTAATCTCGTGAGGGCGGAGCCACTTTTTGATTCGCTGCTGGACGCTGTCGTTCTCGGGGAACCCGACCGAACGCGGACCGGGGGGGAAACTGTCATCCACGAAGTTCACCGTGTTCTACAACAAACACAAGATTTCAGTAAGATCATCGCACACAAATAAACCAGCATTTGCCATTACTAAATAATACGTTTATAACATATAAAATTTGTAATATATTTGTAATAAATATGCTGTAAAATAAGTCAATTAAAAAAGTATGTAGATCTCATTTGCTATCATTAAAATGTATATAATATTAAAATTTTAATTAATTTTATATAACATTGTAATAAATAGTGTGTGTAACTAAAATATTACTGTTGTTTACTATTACTGTGTTTTTAATAAATATCATGTAACAACCTATGTAGATATAATTTTCCATCATTAAATTAATTTATTTTACTACTACTACTACTAACAATAAAAACAACAACATTTTTAAAAATTAGGGTCAAAATCATTTTTTAATTGCTTTTTTCCCTGAATGTTTGGAGATCCCATTTGCCATCATTAAATAATATGCATATAATATACACGCATACATGCAGGAAGTAATTGTACATTTTCACCCTATTTACCCAAAAACTACACAAACTTTCACCCTAAAACATCAACTTCTGTTCACTTGGTTGCTACAAATCACTGTTAGTGTGAGCATCTTTATAGAGTCGACATGATGTGCATCATATGAGGACGCAGCAAAGAGGGAGGAAACATGTACATTTGCAAAAACTGCAGCAGATATTCTGCAGGAACAATAAAGCTTCAAACATACATTCTCACGGACAGCAGCAGCTCACGCTACACCTGATTTTTTTTCTCACAGGAAAAACACGTGTATGCCGGAGAAATAGGGGTCATTTTGACTCTGGGGAGACGTTTAATCGCTGCTGCAACCGTTTCTAAAAATACGTCTCCCAAGTTGCGAGCGCAGACGGATGCAGATCTGAGGGGCTGCTGGGGAAATGCATGCAGACATGGAAGTGTGGTGACACTGAATGTCAACTTGTGTTTGAGATGTCTGAAATCCCATTTGCAAAGAGAAAGAGTGCTGGTATAACTGCGATTATTGATCATATTATTTTATTACATAACGGGCTGAAAAAATACATTTTGAATAGCTTAGACAGGTTCTAAACTTAGTTTGTGATGCATCATTTTCATTATGCAACTATTCTGAAGTGAGAACATCTGGGTCAAATCACAGCTGTGCTGAGACCTGAAATTAACATTCATCCTGGTTGATCTGATAACAGCTTTTAGATCAGATCTGATCAGAGCATCTTCAGGGATGCTTACGATCACATCTCATTTACAGTGTAAACACTAACACATCCTGACGTGCCCCAAAAACACTGAAGGACATTCTAGTCATGTAACACGCACCAAAAAAACAAAAAGATGTACTTCATCTTAGAGAAAACCTGAGGATTCATATCATGTTGCATCGACCCTCCTGCGGAAATAACGCGTGTAGTCCGGAAACCACAGAACATGGAAAATCTCAAGAGGTCATTGGAGAAGCAAGTGAGTGTGTTGGAGCAGCATCCAAATATATTTAACCTCTAAGATGATACTAACAATTCAATAATGTAGAGATCATAAGTTGGATCAAACTGTGGCTTATCTTGATTTCAACCTTTGGTTTGTACCATCACAGGTCTTTAAGAGGTGTTTGTCTGCACAAGGAGGAAACACAAAAGTCAATCTGACTTGAATATCAATCTCAAGGCTAAAATATAAAAATTAACCAGAGATATGGAAGACATACGTCAGAGATATCAAGGAGTTTCAAAGATCCTAGAATCATATCTGAAAGGAAAACTCCCGATTAAAGAAGATCTTTGAGAAGCTGCTGAAGTTGTATTTGCGAGTCCCAGAATTAAGGAAGCAGTTCAATTTAAAAGATGAAGTACTCCGCTTAGAGCGGTTTTAAGTGCAAATGATAAATCGCCTAAACACTTCTGTGTTCTTTTCTGAAACCTTTTATTGAATATGGAAAAAGATCAAGAACAAGAAGAACTTGAGAATTTGCATTTCAGCCCCGTCGGCAGTGAATCATTACACACTCGACTCACAAGAGCACACGGCCACTTACTTCTGCGGGACGCTCCTTAAACATCCCTTCTGTCTGAACAGAACATTGCTGTCAGCATCTCCTCAAACACAAAGTCTGAGCATTTCCCCCTCGATTAAGGTCAGAAATACATAAAATATTTAGCAGATATCATGCTCTGTGTGTTTCTGATACTGGCTCAGCTTAAAAACGGAGCTGCAGTTTGAAATGTCAACAGAATAGAGTAGCAGGATGTTTAGATAATGTAACATTAGTATTTAGGCGGGTCGTGTGTGTAATATAGAGATATATATTACAGTATAGTGTGAACACTACAAATGAGATCACTAGAGATGCACTGATGTATCAATCACAGACATTTAAACTGATACTAAAAACAGATGGTTCATTAATAATTAATAAAGTACATCTATTGTGTTGGATAAGGTCTATAATTTGGTTCTTGAGCAGCAAATCAGCATATTAGAATGATTTCCGAAGGATCACATGACACTGAAGACTGGAGTAATGATGCTGAAAATTCAGCTTTACATTGCGGGAATAAATTACATTTTAAAACATATTACAATAGAAAACATTTATTTTAAATTGTAATAATATTTCACAATTTTACTGTATTTTTTGATCAAATAAATGCAGCCTTGGTGAGCAGAAGAGATTTCTTTAAAAAAAAATTTAAATGGTAAAGACTCCAAATCGCTTTGGATATCATGTTAAAAAAAAAAGTAAAAAAATCTGTTAAAATAACTAAGGCGAGTTTTTTAAATGAACATAAGGAAGATTTACATATTAATAATTTGAATTGAACTCTAAAATAACCCTAGCCTGTGAATGAACAACATTTATCTGCATATTTTTACAAGGAAACCAACATTCCACTTTCAGGATTAAATTAAGTGGACAGCTTAAACAGATTTGACCAATTCTGTCAACATTTCTGTTAATGAAATTTATTTTAATATCATCGTATTGTCACTTAAGCTATGTATCATTCCCAGGACTTATGAATTTATTCCACATTTTAGGAAAATCGAGGCCACTAACTTTTTTTAGTTGAATAATGGTCACAATTTAACTAAATTAAAGTGACGGAACAAATTAATCACTAATTAGTCACTACCTAAAATGGGAGAACAAATTCATTAATTTTATTTAAAATGTTTTCTGCATATCATATGCGGGTCTCCGTAGATTAGAGTATCTGCCGATATTTGTTAAAGGGGTCATATGATGCGATTTCAAGTTTTCCTTTCTCTTTGGAGTGTTACAAGCTGATTTAATTTGTTCCACATTTTAGGAAAATCGAGGCCACTAACTTTTTTAGTTGAATAATGGTCACAATTTAACTAAATTAAAGTGACGGAACAAATTAATCACTAATTAGTCACTACCTAAAATGGGAGAACAAATTCATTAATTTTATTTAAAATGTGGCCACAAATTATGAAATCATTTTTTTCTGCATATCATATGCGGGTCTCCGTAGATTAGAGTATCTGCCGATATTTGTTAAAGGGGTCATATGATGCGATTTCAAGTTTTCCTTTCTCTTTGGAGTGTTACAAGCTGATTGTGCATAGATAGTATCATATATACCAAAAAAGTAAGAATCTGTGCATCTTTAGACGCTGCTTAACGTATTTAAAAATACTACACAGATCTTTTTTTCTCAAATCAAACTGACAGTGTCTTACCTCTCTACAGAAGCTGACAATATTTTCCCACAGTTCCTTGGCCTCTCCTTCATCTGTGCGTCTGCGCGTCTCCACATGCATGCTCTCCCGCCGTTTGAGCGGTTTCCCTATTTTCCTCTGATTGAGGTACTGCTGCGGGGTGTGACACGCCGCACAATGCTTCATCCGTACTTCGTTCAAGAGCGTGCAGGCAGGACACGTCCACTGACAGGCGCTCTTGTCCTGCGCAGATGGGGATGAGATGGAGGAAGAGGAGGCGGAAGTAAAGGCACGTGAGTGCTGTTGTTTCCGAGAACACGACGAGCAGTTGGACGGCTCGGAGAAACCGTGCAATTTGGACGATCCGCAGGCCGTGCAGTGGCCTGCGCCCGTCGGGTTGCGCAACGTACATTTGGAACACGCCCACGAGCTGAAGTCTGGACTGGATGGCAACGCTGGCGTGAATCGCACCGATTCACCTAGTACATCGATGACGTCGCCGCCTGAACCTGGCCGCGACCCTCGACATGCGTCGCAGCGGCCAGCGGATGACGAGGGAGGAGCTGTGGGGGCGGAGCATCCGGGGCACTTCCAAGAGGGCGGAGATGTGACTGGAGGGGCGGGGTTGTTAGGCTCCTCCTCCAGCACGCTCAGGCGCTTGAGTGAGTAGTTGTCTGATGGTGGGAGGGGCTTGGGTTTGGTAGGCGGGCAGGTTGAGGGCGAGGTTGGCGAGGGGGCAGGGTTCGGGGGCCGGCCAGGGGGCGGGACTTCCCTTCGGCTGCGAGGTACGGGGTTATTCTGAAGCGAGGACAAGGAAGGGGGCAGAAACGGGACAGGGGGTGGAGAAGGGGTTTCAGAAGGTGCTTGGGGTGGAGAATCTTCAGTCAGATCGATAAGAAGCGGCGCAGATGCTCCCGCGGTTTGCGTGGGAAATCCCGCCATGGGTGTGCGCACTTCCGGGACCACTAGCGCTTCAGGAGGGATTTTTGGTAAGGAGAGTTTCCTCGGACCACCACATGCCGAGCACGATAACGCCACCGGAGTATTCACTAAAGTACAGCGAGGACACGCCCACTCTGATGACCCCTCCCCTCCTACAGACACCTCCCCGTTGGGTTCCGTGCACTGGGACTCCCCATTGGCTACCTGACCTTTGGCTTCAGGGCTGGAGGCGGGCTCTACTGGAGTGGGAGGGGGCTGCTTGTGTGGGAGGGGTTCATTGGGCGTAACTGGAGCTGCTCCGCACACAGAACACGAGCCTAATCCATGGTGATTAGTCAGCGTGCAGCGTGGGCAGGACCAGCGAGGTTCCTCAGCACTGCTGAGGCGCAAAATATGGTTCAAATCCGGCTTCTGCCGAGGAGCTTCACAAATAGAGCAGCGTAAGGAGGCACTGGAGTTAAGAAACGTGCAGCGCCCGCATGACCAATCAGAATTCCTCACAACTGCTGCCATCGAACCAGGAGAATGAGAGTGACTGAAAAAGAAGGAGAGAGAAAAAACTATTAGTTACGGAATTAAAGTCCAAAGTACAGAAAAGAGAGCAGAATAGAGTTCATAAAGAGAAAGGAATATGTAGAGGGGAAAATCATATAGCATTAAAGAGCAGGTCATATGGGTTTTTGAAAAATATCTCTTTTGCAGTTTATAACGTAGCTATACTTAAATTAAAACAATCTGCAAAGTTGTTAATCAATAAAGGGCACGATAAAAATAAAAGATATTGTCTCTCAAACGAGAGAGTCGATTCTGAATCGCCTTAACGAGTCGTCATATTTTCAAATCTTTTGCCCGTTACCGGTATACGTCACTGGGTAACACATTTGCATAATCCCCGCCTGCCCGCGAGTCTGCCCTGCCCACAAACACTTCCGCTAGTTAGTGTGTTTACATCATGTTGAGAAGACGCCGTGTTCAAGGATACCACAGAAATACAATTCGAACCTTTAAAGGGCACGATAAATAAAAGATATTGTCTCTCAAAAGAGAGAGTCGATTCTGAATCGCCTTAACGAGTCGTCATATTTTCAAATCTTTTGCCTGTTACCAGTATACGTCACTGGGTAACACATTTGCATAATCTCCACTTCCCCACGATATATGAACAGAGTCTGCCCTGCCCACAAACACTTCCGCTAGTTAGTGTGTTTACATGATGTTGAGAAGATGCCGTGTTCAAGGATACCACAGAAATACAATTCGAACCTTTTGTTGTGTGCATGTAATTTTACCAAGGACTGCTTCTCTAATCTTAGCTTTTATCTTCGTTGGCTTCTAATCTTCTTAATTTGGACTAACAAACTCTCCGAACCACAACCTGTAAGTACGATTGATACGTTATGTGTACATTTTCAATTGAGTGCTCAAAATATCAATTTCCTAAGAATATGTCGATTAATGTAGACTGACGTTGTTCTAATCACTCCGTTTAATAATAAAGAATGTAGTGTAGCACACAGACTTTATAATTATTGTGAAATTGCTGTTTATTTTGCTGCACCGGCAGTTATATATTTAATGCGGGAGAGACGAGGGAGTGCGTCGAGTCTGCCCTGCCCACAAACACTTCCGCTAGTTAGTGTGTTTACATCATGTTGAGAAGACGCCGTGTTCAAGGATACCACAGAAATACAATTCGAACCTTTTGTTGTGTGCATGTAATTTTACCAAGGACTGCTTCTCTAATCTTAGCTTTTATCTTCGTTGGCTTCTAATCTTCTTAATTTGGACTAACAAACTCTCCGAACCACAACCTGTAAGTACGATTGATACGTTATGTGTACATTTTCAATTGAGTGCTCAAAATATCAATTTCCTAAGAATATGTCGATTAATGTAGACTGACGTTGTTCTAATCACTCCGTTTAATAATAAAGAATGTAGTGTAGCACACAGACTTTATAATTATTGTGAAATTGCTGTTTATTTTGCTGCACCGGCAGTTATATATTTAATGCGGGAGAGACGAGGGAGTGCGTCTGTGATACAGCTGTTCTGTGTTCTGATTAATAGTTAAGACGGAGCATCTTTTGTCTGTCGTTCTTCAAACATTACAGTATTATTTTATATTTTGGTTTACAAACTGTATTGTTTCATCAGTTAGTCACGTTAGCACGCGGCTAGCGTATCCACCATTATTGCTTTAAGTGTTCACAGTTTAGCAGCTAAACTTCAGCTGTGGGCACGATTCGCTTGCATAAGTGTTTTTGTATTTTATGTCATTATTATAAGAACGGATTGGAGCACTATATTATTGTTTTATGCAAAAGTGCTTTGTCAATGGTAGCGCTCGCTAACTTGCTCAAGGACTCCTCTCTGTGCCAATCACAACAGGCTTGGCCAGCTGACCAATCAGAGCACAGTAGGCTTATGGAAGGGAGGGGTTTGCTCTGAACGTGCTTGGAACGAATCGTTTCGAAATCATTGGCAAATGACTCTAATATTAAATGTATATTCTGATAAAATGACAATGTTTACTGACCTTAGATGCATTTAAACCTGTTGTAGGGGACTCCAACACAATATCAGGACACTTTAAAATACCATATGACCTGCTCTTTAAGTAAAGATAGACTAATAAGGAAGATTAATAACACAATGCATTATTAATAAACCAACATTATTAATATACTAATATATTAACCCAATATACCAGACAGGTTGATTAATCAAATAGAATTTGGCCATTATGAGATATTGGTCATATATAAAACCAATTTATTTGATTGTTTTATGCCATGTCTGAGGCCATTTAATGTCCAACAAAACTAAACTAAACAGGTAAATAGATAATTTAAAAAAAATGAGTAAATAAATTAATAAATGGTAGACAAAGGTAGACAAACAAGATAAATATTTTACATGCACAAAAATAAGATCTACATAAGATTTTTTAAGGTGTATTTGAGGAGTGTGTGTGTGTAGATATATATATATATATATAAAACATTTATTATATAATATATATTATATACATTAGTTATAATAATATATCATTATATAACAAATATAACATTAATTAATTAATAAAATTAACAAATTAATAAACTTTTTCAGTGCACTTGAGAAGTCTCTCTATATAAATATGTAACATAATACTTCCACAATTTTATATAATAATTTATCATTATATAATGATAATAATAATAAAAATAATAATCCACCCTGCTTCCTAGATCTCAACCACTAAAAAAATTCACATCATTTGACAATTTTTATCAATTATGAAATACCATTACTCTACATGAAAAAGAACAGACTAAAGATCAACATTTGATGAATCAAAAGAGAAAACACCTAAAATAATAACAAGAGCAAGCAAACATGATATATGGCAACCACGAAGACCCTTTCAAAACTGTTTTATATACTGTAGCCACTTGAAAATCGATACAAATATGTGCCGATTCAAATCGGTTGAGATGTTAAACGAATCGCGGTACAGTTGGGGGTGGGAGTTTATGTGAATGTATCTCTGAGGGGAACTGACTGTCTTAAGAAAAGTTTAGATGATATTTTCTTTTCATCAGTAGCGCTGCGCTGCTTAGTTTACAGCGGTAACCAAGGAAACACCGTATCGCTGCTGTTCCATGAGCGCCACCTGCTGTCAGAGAGTGAATCTGCGTTCTCATTCAGTTTGTCAGCTGTTTTTGTTTTGTGCAGATGTTTTATGTAGTATAGTTTCACAAAACTAAAGTCAGAGCATTCAGATTTTGCTTAATTTCGAATTTCGAATTTAATTTAAACAATTTAAAACTGCTCATGCTTGTGATTAAAATGCAGTCACAGCCTCTAATCTTAAATGGTTTTAAATTGTTCATATGAAAGATTTATTTTATTTGTGTTATTTATTCGATTTGGGGTTTGTTTTAAAATTTCAGTTTAGTTTTGTTATTTGACATTTCAATTTCACAAAGAAATGCGCAGCATTTTGTCCAAGCATTTATAGTTCTGCATTTGTATTTGTCTTAAATCTCATTTTGTTAAAAAGGTTGTGAGAAAATCGTATCGTGAAATCAGTATTGTGAATCCTATTGCATTGTGAGTTGAGCGAATCGTTACATCCCTAGTGCCGAGACATTTGGCCCCGTGTCTCCAAAAACCATCACATACACGCAGCAAGACATTTGTACTGTTAGTCACAGTCATTAGCACTGGTCTAACAGAACTGGCCATCATCCCACTCCTCCCTGCCTGTATGTGTGTGTGTGTGTGTGCATTATACGACTGACTCAGTAGTGAAACTAACCGTCGGCTCAAGGAGGATCAAGCTGATAAATAATGCAAAGAATCAAAGCTTGTCTGAGTATCTGATCATATTGTGTGCATTCTGCAGTGCATGATGGGTGTGTTCGGTGACCTATTAACACTGCTGGAAAGCAGGGAATTATTGGCGGAAATTGTTTTTCCCCGAGTATGCGATATAACAGCATTCCAACAGCATCATGTTTTTGGCTTTGGGCTGATGAACATCATGTAAAAACAATGCTGACTAGAATCCATTTAAAACAGTCACATTTGAGTCACATAAGGAAGATCGAGGCAATCTGGGACAGATGAAATCTGAGGTTAGGACACACCTTTCATTACGCAAACGAGGAAAGGACATACGAGGTGAAAGAGAATTCAAAGATCAAACAATTTTTATGAATTAATATGGAAGTGTGCATTCAGGAGAGACTGTCACACTTTTACTCCAGTGAATATTTCTTAGCATAAGTAAACTACTATATACACAAACCTTGAAGTCTCAGCTACAAAATAGCTACTGTATTTGCATTTGCATCATTATTGGCCAATAAAAGAAAAGAAAGTATAAAAGGTAACACTGAAATATGAAGCCACTGTTTCAGCCAATAAATAATAATTAATAAATTACAATTAACAACTTGTCTCAACCTGATATACATGAAAGCATATTTTCCAACGAACCAATAAAAATATGATGATCCTGGCATTTTAGTTTATAAGACAGACTTTTGAAAGTAACATACTAAACAACTGTGTGTGTGTGTGTTAGAGAGAGACAAGCAGGGAGAGTTTATTCTGAATTGTGATTGGCTGAGGTGATAGGAGCTTGTTGCTATGGGAATAAATCCTCAGTAAAGCCTCAGAGGACAGCGACTCACTTTCTACCGATAAAACACTCAGGAAACATCCAGATAAAGATCAGACACACACCTACACACACTCACAATAGAGACGTACAGCTCGATTCATGGACGACACATCACACTGGGACGTCCTACAGCACTCATGTCTCAAGTGTCAAAGGTCATAGCATTGTTGTTTTTTTTGGATGCTACAAAATGGTTGTGGCCTAATGGTTAGAGTCGGACTCGTAACCCATAGGTTGCGGGTTTGAGTCTTGTACCGGCAGGGATTGTAGGTGGGGGGAGTGAATGTACAGCGCTTTCTCCCACCTTCAATATCACGACTGAGGTGCCCTTGAGCAAGGCACCGGACCCCCAACGGCTC